AGGTTGAGAAACACTGAGCTAGCTAAATGCAGGTTTAGCAGCTAGAAGGAGATAACCATTCATCTGTTTATATACTCAAAATAAGAAAAGGGGAAAAAACAGTCAACACTCTTGGAAAAGAACCATGTTAAGAGTTTAGGAAAACGTAAAGAGCCACCTACAGCTTCACAGTTTAAACACCGAGTTTCATTTGTTAGTGTTCCCTGGAAGATTTCATGGACCCACGTGAGATCCGTCTTCTCCCCTTCATCACTCTCAATGCTTCCGTTCTGGAGTTTGCCATTCTGTTTCTCCTGCTTCCTTTCTTCTTGTAGCAAGTCCGCAATTGTGTTCAATAGATAGTTCAGGAATTCGTGTGCATCCTGTTGCATATAATTGTCAAACAGCTCTGATAACAAGAAGGTACACAACGAAAGGAAGAGCAGAGGAATCAAGATATTAGACTAACAGCTGAGTACAGTTAAAGTCATTACAGACTTTCAGATACCAAGGCAGAGTAGAAAGCAACGGGGTATGCCTTTATTAAAAATAAGCACATTTTTACCTGATTAGTCTCCCTAATTGTTAAAAGAGTTAAGGGTGTACGTCTTTTTCCAAATTTATCTGTTCTGTAATAGGGGTCCTGATACCCAGAAAAGAAAGTCCAAAACAGTGACAGTCACCATCACCTCTTCTTCCTCCTCCTCCAACTAGAAAGCTGCCTTGAGCAAACCACATCAAAATTAACAGATCTTGGGCCGGTGAATCTGAAGATCTGTTCCCCTGCGACCAAATGTTTTCTGCTCCTATACTTGTATAAAATTCGAAGTGCTCAACACTGTTTGCCAGATTACAAGCCATCTCTGCTCAGTTGGGTGGTACACATCATTCTCATAACCCAGCAGGACTTGAAATTAGAATATATATCACACACACACACACACATTTACCACTTAAACATTATATCACTGGAAAAGTATTATATATTCAAATTGCATCAATTTTTCAGAGGCAAAAATTCAGAGCTGATTAATTTCTCTCTAGAGGTCATGTTCAATTATTTTCTGACAACTTCATAAGTTTTATTAACCACTCATAGCACTTGAGAAGTAAGTTCATAGAAGGGGGAATACTTAGAGAATGGACTGAATTTGGAAACCTTTTAACACAAAATTTGAAGCATTTGCTAGACCCTATTTATAAATTGTTGGTGAAATATGACCCAGCAACTGAACAAGTTAAAGACCATGTAATTTAAATGGATGCAGACTTTAGATACAATAACAATATGCCAAAATAGGAATTTAAATGGAAGAAAAACATTAAATTCACATCAAATATGATCACTTAGAAAAAACCAGCATAAGATGTTTTGCTGCTGTTATATTACTCCAGTTCTGACTGCTAAAATGGATAGTTCATTCTCTAAAAATTGTTGGAAACAACAATCAGGTTAGATCATTTTTTCATATTTGGTGGCAATGTTGTAAAACTCAACAATTCTGGAAAATGATTAATAATAGAATGAAAAAGCTTCTGAAAGCTGTGTTTCTCTCCAACCTGTTATTATTTTATTAAATATTACTAAACCTTACATTTCCACAAAGCATAATGAACTAGCATTGTAGACAGATGGTAACTGCTGCAAGGATATTCTATGCTTCCAACGGGAAAAGTACAGCTGCTTCTGCAGAAGAATGGCAAATTAAATTGTGAGAGTATGCCTTGATGGCCCAAATAACTTTGTATTTCAAAGGTAAATCTGACATAGGATTTAACTCAACTTGGAAACTATTTTTGGATTATAATTCCACATATGGGTTTTTACTTTATCTGAAATGTGGAGCTTTTTTAAACATGTTCTTAATCTTCTAGCTATTAATGATCTATTAAATGAGGATTGACTTTCAACTGCTTGGATAGAAATTACTGTAATTCTTCATTTTGTTTTATGATTTATACTGTGCTGATTATTGCAGCTGATATTCATATATTATTTTGATTTTAACAATGGTTGATACTTTTTAAAACAACAGAACATATTCAGTTACTTAAAACTAATGTAATATTGAAAGTTTTAACCCAGTTCTATCATGCCTGTAAATTCCCCATTTACTTTATTTTTCTTGCCTTTTTCTTTTTTTCTTTTGTTAGTTTATATTTTTTCTTCATTTTTCCTTTTTTCAAAAATGCTTAGAAAAAGAAGATTTTTAAAAAGGAGATGTAAACATATTCACAGCATTTCTTTGAGCTAATAGATTTCTTGGCCCATGACAAAAAGTGTCATTACGCTTTTCATTATCTTAACTTACAGGCACTGAGCTGAAGTGCCACCGATTCCCATAGGGAATAAACAGTGATTAATACCATCATGAGTGGTATTAATACCACCATGAGCCAAATGAACCTCAGTTCAACCGTTTTACTCTGGTCTGGATCAATAGGCAGACCATGAGAGTTGGAATATTTCAACAATAAACTTTCTGCAGCGAACATTTTCCTCCGTACAGTATGTTCAAATCCAAGTCAGTACCTACAGATACACAAGGAAGCAACTGTAACTGAGCATATATTCAACCTGGATATTTAAAAAACACAAAACAAAACCCTTGCTCAACAGATACAATACTTGCTAAAAGGTATACTAGCTCTCTTTTACATCAAACACAAAGCGAAAATCGTAACTATCGTACACATTAGTAGGCCTCCAAAACTGGTGACTATTCAATGTGACTCAAGGCCTCAGTTCACTTCTAGTTTGGGCTTGGAAAAAATTCCTCTCTGAAAACTACAGAGAAACAATAATTGCCTATCACTGCTAGGAGTTTTGAACTAGATAGGCTATACCCATCTGAGCCAGTAAAAGGGAGAGATAGGCCATCTTTTTAGTCAGGGGCATATTTAGAATTCTGACAACAGATGATGGGCACAGTTAAAAAATGGTTGCTACAGAAGTCTGATTTACTTACTAACTAGTTGTCAGGGTGGCATGGTCAGTTAAAAGACATTATTTAATCAGAAGCTGAACCAGAACACTCTCTACCACCTTAGGGGGGCCCAAAGACTTTGCCACGGATCAATATGGCGGTGCTCTGCTTTGCAAGTAGCCAGATTCCTATCCAGCTTTTTTCGTTAACAGAGTCTTTTTAAAAGGTCAGGTGGGACAGGGAGCTTAATGGGCATCAAGGGAGATGTCTGGGGACATCATGTGGACTACCCCGGTATGAGGGAGCTTCCTCTGTTCCCACAAATCCATAGTTCTGAGTGAAGGCATCCAAGGGGCTCTGGCCACAGCTGTCCCCAGTCAACAAAATCTGACAGCTAACACAATCTTAAGCAACCACTGCACCAAGACATACCACGTACAAGAAGCAAGAGGTTTAGTTACCATTTTCTTTCCTCAGTCGGGAAATGAACTTCTTGGGGGGGATGACTCCCACTTTCTTCTTTTGGGTGGCAATGCTGTTGAAGAGGTCTGACAAGCACGTCAGAAGGCTTTCCTTTTTGCGGGGCTGGACTTTGTAGGCCAAAACCTTTTCCCGAAAAGGACGACAGAAGTAAAGTGCCTGGAGGACCGAGTTACAGTAGCAGGTATTCCCAAACTGAAGGAGGAGAGAAAGAAAGAAAGAAAGAAAGAAAGAAAAAAGGTGGGGGGGTTGTTTGGGGAAATGGATATTCAACTGCAGGAAAAAGAGAACAAGGAACTCAAAACCAAGTTAACTACCAAGGAAAAGGGCAGGGAAAGCTGGCAGAATATTATGTAAGTTGAACATGTGGCACACAGTATTCTCACAAAAAGACATTTGAGGGAAGAAGAAATCTTTTTCTGTGTTCAGAGCTGGAAGGAGCATGAGAAGTTTTTTTACCAAGGAAAAGGGCAGGGAAAGCTGGCAGAATATTATGTAAGTTGAACATGTGGCACACAGTATTCTCACAAAAAGACATTTGAGGGAAGAAGAAATCTTTTTCTGTGTTCAGAGCTGGAAGGAGCATGAGAAGTTTTTTCCCCATGAATGCTATGATAAACCTGAAACTGGCCACACTTGCTATTAATGCATTTGGTCTGCAATCTCCACCTTGAATCTATCTTGGAATTGCGAGCCTTGTGGGCTGATTTGGGGGTCTTCTCAACACTTCCTCAGCTACAAACTGTTGTACAGCTTGCTTGAGGAACATCTTGGAGAACGTGAAAGCTCGCCCAATTTATCACATCATTTGGAACTGATGCCAATAAGTACACTGCCCATTATCTGTGGGTTTTATATTTCTTCTTGGATCAAAACAATTACAATTTCTTCTTACACTTGGGGAACTCCTTTCCTTGCAAGATGCCCCTCAAAATGATCACATCTCAGAAATCAAACCTCACAGGCTGTGGCAAAAAAACCAAGATCTCTATCTGCTACCACTCTTTAAAACCATGAATGCTTTTATGTCTGTAGCGTTTCTTTTATTGACCCTCAGTTTAGAGAGCAAAGGAGGCTGAACCCCGACCTTTTAAAAGCTTTGCAATGCAATCTGGCCCATGCTCAGACCCTGTGCTTGTTTCACAAACCTCAGTGCTAGTTAACTGGGGAAGGGAATCACATCCTGCTGGATGTCACTCCAGAGGAATCTGTTGGCAGTTAAGACTGTAAGTGACGGGATGGTGGTCAGGCCAGAGGGTGCTGTTTCTGACAGAGAGCGATGCACGTGAGGAGCCCAAGAGCAGAGTTAGACTAGATTCTCTTCAGAGTCAGCTCAGATCAGGAATAAGCAGGGAAGTCACCAGCACTCCTTGGAGAAATATGCCTCAGGGGGCGGGTGAGGTAGTCTCTTCATGCTTCCTGTTTACAAGGCTCTTAGCTGGAAGCAGATGTTTTGCATCTGTCACATTTGAAGGCTCCTTCATTTCAGAGAAAGAAAAGAGTCTGATGGGATAAGCACTTCTAGGGGGAATCGTTTGACATTCAGAATATATCATCGTCCTCTTATCTCCACCAGCCCCCTCCATCCTCGCCTAGACAATGCTAAATCTCAGCACAGAGTAAACAAAATTAATATTTGTACATTCAAAAAGAATGGGAGTTGCATTATTCAACACTAGGTTGTGGAAAGCTTTGATAGGGTGCTTTGATTCAACTAATCTTCAGTCAAATGACTCCCCGAAGCAGATTCCTGAATCACTTGCCTCGAGGCAGCAAACTGAATCAAGATGGCTTTGAAATGCTTTTTTGGTAGCTTCACCAGGGGCATTATAGACACCACTGCAATTTCACTTCCATACATGGAGAACACAGAAGGGAGGGAGAGGCTGAGAAGTGCCATGGTCTTTGATATGGCCAATGGGTTCCATCACCTCTGTGCCTTATTGCACTGGGAAGTGCAAGGAGCTATAACTAGGGTTCCAAAGTAGTTTCCCATCTTGGCTCTGACCAAACCTAAGCCAACTTAGTTTGCTGCATCAGGTTTTACATATCCTCTTTAATATTCACTCTACATACTCCCTATAATTTCTTACACATCCCAAATTCTCTCACACATTTTCTTACTGATAGTAAGAAAATTCAACTGTTCTCTGAATTGTGTTAACTTCTCTACTAATTAGCTTTTGTTACAACTAGAAGAGGCGAATGGGCACACTGCTGTATTTCTGTTGTTACTAAATTAAGGATTTGAATCATTTATTAAAATATGCAGCCAAATACATCAAGCAGCATCTGTTTTATTTGCATAATTATTCCAACTTGCAGTTGGCTTGCTGATGCATGAATTTCCTAACTGTGCCCTTCAGAAGTCATCTTCTCAACTTGGGCTAGTGCTAGAGATCTAAGAAGTTTAAAATGCTCAAGGTAGATCATAACTTATAAACAGTGGTGGTGCTAGATGAAGTTCATTCTGGAACATGCAGCTCTCAAAACTTTTTTGCACCTCCCAAAGACTAGCAAATAGTGCAATGTAATTTTGGCAGCAAGACGCCTGGAAAGGGAAGCACAACATCTCGCTGATTTAAAGATAAAAATGAAACAAAATAGGGAGTGATGCATGATGATGTCAAGGTATCCCCTCTCCCCAGCAATCGTCCACAGCTGCTGAAATGTGCCTTATTTCCTGTCTTAGCCTGTTCCAGCATATCAAATCAATACTTAGAAATTTGGTGTTTGAATAGGAATCTCCAGTGTTTCTCAACTTTAGCAACTGTAAGTTATGTGGACTTCAACTCCTGGAATTTCCCAGCCAGCCTACACATATATGCCTTAGCAATAACTCTCAGTGTTTGCATGCAGGGAGAAGCAACTGGGATAAATGGTGAGCCAGGTGCTGACCTTAAGCTTGAAGGCAACTGCAAACATCTACAAGTCCAGAGTACAAAGAAAGGTATTTCTCCATGATTGAAAAGGGAGGCCAGGCACAGCTTCCCTGAGCAGAACATCCCAGAGAGATCCTACTGCTCAGAAATCCCCATCATGGGTGCTATGAATTCCTAAATCAGCCTGGTCTGGAGAAGGATCCCAGGAGGTTCTTAATATTAGGAATGTTCTCACAGAAGACATCACTCCCTAAGACTTTCTAATTTCAAGACATTTAGGGTTTTAAAGACAAGAAGCAGTGCTTTAATTGTGGAGACAAATGGGACAGAACCCAAAAAGACTGTTTTAAGAGTAGCAAGGTGGATTTCCATGCAATGAAATCTTCCTAGTAATTTAGTTGATGTATTTGGTGTAAACTGATGTTCTTTAACTGTCTTCAGAGGGAGTTCACCAATCATCCAGAAGGTGTTGCTGATGCCTGGATAAATGCATTGAAGAAGAACTGCGCCATCTTTACCAGCTTCTAATAGGGAAAGGTTTTTATCATGATTATTAAAACAGCTCCTAGACATCTCTGAACAATGCTGGAAGTTGTTTCCTGGGATTAAAAAATCTCGTTTGTGCTCTTGAAGCTGCTATTAGCTTCACTAAGAGACGAAGAAAAGCTAGGCACTTATATTTTATCTTTTTTTTTTTTTGATACAGCAGATAAAATACACTTAGGTAATGGCACATTATATCTATAATATAATATAGATATTATATGCCCCCTTGTTATCAGTACTAACAAAAATGGAAGGCTTCTAAAAGTTCTTCACATTTGACTTTTCTCTTAAAAACCCCAATATGCATCTTGCAAAATTGTGAACAAATTTCTCTTTTTTTCCTTAGAACAGGAATAAGCAGTGGCTGGCCACATGTGACTCGACAAGCCATTTTTGCAGCCTCCAGAGCCCCCAACAGACACTTCACAGAAAGCACAATAATTGTCAATGGAGATCTAACAAAACCCCGTGAGATACAAAAAGGAATAAGACAGGGATGCCCACTGTCTCCTCTCCTGTTTATTTTATTCCTTGAAATATTGAATAGAGATATAAGACAAGATGAAAGAATTGTGGGAGTAAAGGTTTAAAAAGAAACTTATAAGTTAAGGGTTAATTTGCTGATTTGGTGTTGATTATGGAGGATCCACTAAAGGGTAGACTGTAGAGACATTAATGGGAAAATTAAAAGAATTTGGTACATTAGCAGTTTTAAGATCAATAATCAGAAGACGAAGATGTTAACAAAAATATGAAAATAGAGGATCAAACAGAACTAATGAAGAAAATGGGCTTTAAGACTGAGAAAAAAGCAAAGCATCTGGGTATCACCATGACAAGTATGAATTGTATGTTATTTCAAAATAATTATGTTAAGTCATGGAATAAGTTAAAAAGGTACATTAAGATGGGAGAAATTACCACTGTCATTGTTGGGGAGCATTTCCGTGATAAAAATGAATGTTTTGCCTAGAATGATGTTTTTGTTTCAGACAATACTGCTTTTGACAACTGATGCACCATTTAAACAGCAGCAAACGGATATATCTAAGTTTGTATGGCAAGAGAAAAAAAAACACAAGTTAAATATAAGGTGTTACAAGATGCAAAGGAAAGAAGAGGATTGGGTTTTCCTGATTTGATATTGCATTCTGCAGCTTGCCATCTGCTTTGGATGAAAGAGTGGGTGCTGCTGAAAAATAGAAGGCTTTTGGAGTTAGAAGGACATGACCTGAGATTTGGGTATGATATGGACATTTGTGGTATGATATGGATATTTGTGGTACGATAAAGTTAAGATTAATGTAGATTTTAAAAATCACTGTGTTAGACACACCATATTGAGAATATGGAATAGATACAAACCCAGATTGTGCCTGAAAACACCTTTGTGGCTCTCAGCAAAAGAAGGATTTTATAGACGAGAAATAATAGGCTTTGGTTAATGGTTAACATACAATGAGATACTCAAATTCTATCAAGGGGAATACAAAATAAAATCAAGACAGTAAATGATGGCAGAGGGACATAATTGTCAATGGTTTTCCTATTTACAGTTATCAGAAAGATTCAAAGTAGACAAAAGAATTTATGGTTTTGAACACTGTAAGACTGACTCTGAAACAGAATTGTGTACCAGTGATGAACATGTGATTGTTAAAATGTATAAACTTTTATTGAAATTTGAAACAGAAGAAGAGCAAGTGAAAGAATGTATGATAAAGTGAGCTAAAAGATTGGTTATAATATGCAGATGGAACAATAGGAAAATATGTGGTTGAAAGGATTGAAATTTACACTATGTTATAATCTTAAAGAGAACTTTTATAAAATGATGTACCGTTGATATATGACACCATAAAAATTATCTATCTAGTATAAACATACTTCAAATCTATGCTGGAAATGTGAACAACAAGAAGGGTCATTTTACTATGCTTGGTGGATGCGCAAAAAAGCTAGAAAATTCTGGATTCAAATATACACACTGATGCAGAGGATTTTAAAGATTAATATATAATTGAAATCAGTGGTTTTTCTTTTGGGACTGATGGACAAACAGTTGGAAAAAAGTCATGGAACTTAG